AAACAACTAAGCATGATAAAATAAACAGCAAGGAGAAGGGTTTAGAAACGCAAATCTGGGTTTGGAGTGGAAGTTCCATCTTCTCCTTGTTGAATACATGGGTTGCCTCCCAAGAAGCGCTTGCTTTAACGTCTTCCAGCCGGATGAATACGCCATGCTAAGCTTCATTAGTAGTACCCACGACATGGAGGGGTACATCATCCACAACATGCTCCTCGAAATTCTCATAGTAGGGCTTTAATCGATGGCCATTCACCTTGAACTCTTGTCCTGTTTTCAAGCTTTGAATTTGGACTGCACCATAAGAAAAGACATTAGTAATAACAAACGGGCCAACCCACTTAGAACGCAACTTACCAGGAAACAAGCGAAGGCGAGAATTAAAGAGTAGCACTTTCTGCCTAATGGAGAATGATTTGCCTCAAATCATCTTATCATGGTGATAGGAGCATATTTATGCGACTTAATTGGCTTGTTCTCGTGCACTTATGTTGTGTTTCCTTAGTTATTTTAGTGTTTAAAGTCACTTTTGTGTGTTTTCAGGTTATAAAGCCAAAATGTGCAAGAAGATGCAAATTGGAGTCTTTTGGAGCAAAAGAGGAATGAATGAGTTGAAGACTTGAAGAAATATGAATCCCTAATTGAAAGTGAATTCCTACTCCAACGAGGATTCCTACTCCAACAAGGATTCCTACTTGAAGTAGGAAAGTTAAGCCTAGGTTTCCCATTTTGGTAACCTTTCCTAATCTTGAAAATCCTTATTTTCCAGCCACTTTGAAGGCCTTGTATGCACTTTAGAACACAAAACAAAGGCCCTAGACCCCCTTCCAACCTTTGCCATGGCCTTTCCCTTTCTCCCCACCCCTTGCCGTGCAAGGGGGGGCATTTATGTCCTATTTCTGAACTTAAACCTATTTCCCTTTCTAAATAAACCCTAGCCGCACCTATTAACCAATTCCCTTTTTAATTTCTGATTTAATTTCCTAATTCTAGCAGCCTTTGACTTAATTTTAGTTAATAAAAATAAGCTAGGGTTTTAATTTCTGAAACCCTATATATTCTAAGCCTTGCCGCACCCTAGGGGATCCTCTTTCATTCATTCATTCATCATTCCCCTTTTCAGCCGCAGCCACCATCAACCCTAAAACCTCTTTGCCGCAACTCCCATCCATTCCAGCCACTTTTCCCTTCTTTGCCGCAACCTTCCCACCATTGCAGCCACTTCAAATCATCCATCCACACCTCCATACACCACCCACAACCCTTGCCGCAACCCTTTACCACCCTAAATCCATTCCTAACCCAGAAAATCATCCAAAATCAACCCAAACCCTCTCTGCCGCAGCAAGGAGAAGAAAAAAGAGGAGCTTGAAACGTGCAGAAATTCAAAGTGGATTCGTTGGGCGTTCTAGGTGTAATCAATCTTTTGTTCTCTATGTTTAATTTCAATTTTGTTTCTCTTTCTGTGAACATGAGAGGCTAAACCCCTAGTTAGCTAGGGGGTGATTCAAAACCATGTTTATGCTTGCAATATAAATTGATTACCTTCAGTTGGAATTTCATGAGTTGTGGATTCAATTTGTTTAACTGCTTGTTTGATAACTTATTCGTGTATGTTTATTGAGAGTGCACGCATAGTTTTCATGCATGAATATGATGCTAGAATATGAGGAAGTTTCACCTAATAGTTACAAACTTATATTCACAAGTAGTGGAGGTTGCTTATAAACAATCGCGTTAAATGAATTCTTGGCACTAGTTTCATGCTCATCATAGTAACGAATGCCTCGTCAACACTTATAGTTTTCATGTTGCTTAATGATCTTTGATTGTATCTTTATTGTGCTTTTCACATAAAGGACTTTTGGAGAATGTTTTGAATTGTTGTATGCGCTTTCCCATCCAATTCATTAACTTAGGGAGAACTTGAAGGTTAATTTAAGCGAACCTAATTAACCTGGGGTGTTGAGTTTCATGATTCATCGAAAGACCAACTGAAAATCATCTTGTATGCAAGTGTGACATGTGTGGAGAAGAACCTTCTAGCTAGCATTCCATCCATATTTTCACCAATTTCATATTTACAATCTGTTTTAATTACAATCTGTGCTCTTTGTTTTAATTTCGTCAAAATTAAATCCCCCTTTACTTTAGTGTTCAATTTAGTTAGAAAGTGTCTTAGTTTGTGTTTCTAAGTGTTTTGATTCAAGTTATAACCCAAATTCGTCCAAATTAGGTTAGGTGTTCAAAACTGGCCAGATTGTGTTTCTAAGGCAGTTTTGAGTGTTTTGTTGCTGTTTTGAGTCTTTTGGTTTGTTTTTGTGTTTTAGTGGTTAGTTTTGCATTCTTTGAGTCTAGTTTAGTGTTTTAACCTTTGTTTTACGTTTTTGAGTCAGTTTCCAAGTGATTTAGTAATCCCTCCTAATCCTCGGTTTAGAACGATCCCTACTTATACATATACTACAATTGTCAAAAGAGGGTTTTAATTTGTGTGCTTATATATTTCGCATCACATGGAAAGACTTTGTCTTCTCCTTGTAAATTCGAGCGTTTTCATACGCCTCGTTCCTAATCTCTTCCAGTTCATTCAATTGGAGCTTCCTGATAGGAGCATATTTATGCTACTTAGTTATGTTGTTTCCTTGCATTTATGGAGTTAATTACTATTTATTTCAGTCTTTTAACTTATTTTCGTATGTTTTTAGGTCCTAATGGCAAAAGGAGCAAGAAAGTGAATTTTGAGGCTATTTGGAGCATTTTTGGGCATGGATTGGATAGCTTAACCATGGAGCAAAGAGGATAGACGAAATTGAAGACAAGAAGAGCTAGGAAAGGCTACAAATCTGGTGGAAGAAGTCCTAATGCAATGAAGATAAGGAAGAAGCAAGAAACAAGGAACCTTATCCAACCTTATCTTATCCTATCCTAAAAACCTTATCCTATCCTAACTCTAACATTATCCTATTCTATCCTATCCAAATTTGGTTAGGACTTAAACTTAGCTACTTAGAGGGAATTAATTACACATTTAAACACCTATTTCAGTTTCTAGAATTCCCTAAATCCCAGCCGCACTACCTAATCCATTTCCCATTGGTTTCTGCCTTGAATTAACCCTTTTTCAATGGGATTGTGCAATCCTTTTCCTTCACTAAGTGTGCCTAATTAGCCTATATAAACAGCCCTATGCCGCACCATTCAATCATCCACTCACACATTCATTCATTTATACTTTCATCCATCAAACACCACAATCCATTCTACACCACCCTAGTGCTGCAAGCAAGGAAGCAAGGAGAGGAGGACTTGTGCAATCTGCCATCCAAGGGAGTGCCGTGCATGCCATTGGAGTGTGGAGCGTTTTCTTGGTTCTTTCTATCCTTAGTCTTAGTTCAATGTTTAAATTTAATTATTTTTGTTTTGCGAACATGAGGAACTAACTTCTTTTTAGTTAGAGGAGAATTTGAAGCCATGATTATATGTTTTATATGAATTGATTACGTCCGGTTATTATTTCTTAAGGCATGAATGTGATTTGCTTATCTAAGTTATTAAAACTGGTTTATGTATGTGGGTTGGGGGTTAACACTTAAGTTGCATGCATAAACTTGATGCTAGAGTATAGGAGGGTTTCACGTAATTGTTATTCACTTATATTCACAAGTAGTGGAGGTTGCTAGTCATAATCGCGTTAAGTAAATCCTTGGCACAAATCTCATGCGTTTCATAGTGATGAGTTCCTTGTCAACGCTTATAGTTTTCACAAAACTTAATGACTTTTGATATGTATCTTTGTTATGCATCTCATATAAAGAACTTGAAAAAAATAATTTGGTTGTAATGCGTTTTCATTCAATTCAATGAAATAAGGAAAACTTGAGGGTTAGTTGTGCGATGCAACTAACTTGGGGCGTTGTCATTCATAGTCTAAAGGAGTAATAACTGGACATTGGTTCGTATACATATATCATGTGTGGAGAAGGACCCTCTAACTAGACAAATTGTCACAAATAGGGTTTAATTTGTGTGTCAAGTTAATTTTCACATCACTTCCTGTGAATTCCAGCGGTATCAATGTCCATGTTGAATGTCTTGATGGGCCAATGCGCCTTGTGCTCCAATTCCACGGGAAGATGGCATGGTTTGCCATAAATGAGCCGAAATGGAGACATGCCCAGGGGTGTCTTATATGCCGTGCGATATGCCCACAACGCATCCTCCAAACGTACACTCCAATCCTTCCTTGTAGGGCCCACGGTTTTTTCTAGAATTTGCTTAATTTCCCTATTTGAAACCTCGGCTTGCCCACTAGTCTGAGGATGATAAGGTGTTGAAACCTTATGCGTGACGTTGTACTTCTTGAGCAAAGCCTCAATGGTTCGATTGCAAAAGTGAGACCCTCCATCACTTATGATCACTCGTGGCATTCCAAACCTTGCAAATAGGTTAGTTCTAATGAATTCTGCAACCACTCGAGAATCATTAGTTCGGGTGGCTTTTGCTTCCACCCATTTGGACACATAATCCACAGCAAGTAAGATATATAGGAAACCATGTGAGGAAGGAAAATGACCCATAAAATCAATGCCCCAAACATCAAAAATTTCAACAGGGAGTATAACATTTTGCGGCATTTAATCCTTTGCACTAATGTTACCCAATCTTTGGCAATGATCACAAGACATACAAAAGTTTCTAGCATCCTTAAATAAAGTTGGCCAATAGAATCCACATTCTAAAACCTTAAGGGTTGTGCGTTGTGTCCCAAAGTGTCCCCCACATGCATAAGTGTGACAAAATGTTAAAATAAAATTGAATTCCATGTCATGCACGCACTTACGTATAATCTGATCCGAGCAATACTTCCACAAGTATGGATCATCCCAAACATAAAACCTAGCATCTTTTTTCAATTTATCACGTTGGTTTCTATCTAGAGTGTTTGGAACTTGTTTAGTCACCAAATAATTCACCAAATCTGCATACCAAGGCTCACTTACCTTAATGGATAGCAATTGCTCGTCGGGGAAGGTTTCTACAATAAGGTACGGTTCCTCCTCATGTATCATACGGCTTAGGTGGTCAGCCACCACATTTTCACTTCCCTTTTTGTCCTTGATTTCGATGTCAAACTCTTGAAGAAGTAGCATCCATCGAATTAGCCGTGGTTTGGCTTCCTTCTTGGTGAACAAGTACTTTAAAGCTGCATTATCAGTGAAAATAATAACCTTAGTACCAAGTAAATATGATCGAAATTTATCTAAAGCAAAGACAATGGCAAGAAGTTCTTTTTTAGTGGTTGAATAGTTTAATTAAGCGTCATTCAACGTCCGGGATGCGTAGTAGATAACATGTGGCTTCTTGTCCTTCCTTTGGCCCAAAACAGCCCCTAACGCATAGTCGGATGCATCACACATGAGCTCGAATGGAAGGCTCCAATCCGGTGGCACAATGATGGGTGCCGTGGTTAGCATGTCCTTGAGGAGTTGGAAAGCTGCCGTGCACTCCTTGGTGAAGTCGAAAGGTGCATCTTTTTGTAGGAGGCGGCATAGAGGTTGGGAGACCTTGGAGAAATCCTTGATGAACCTTCGATAAAAACCTGCATGTCTAAGGAACAAACGAACCTCTCTAACCGAAGTAGGAGAGGGTAAGTGACGCACAAGATCTATCTTTGACTTATCTACCTCAATACCTTTTTCAGAAATAATATGACCTAAAACTATGCCTTGTTTAACCATGAAATAACATTTTTCCCAATTTAACACAAGGTTAGTTTCAATGCATCGTTTTAAAATCAAACTAAGATTATTCAAACAACAATCAAATGAATCACCAAAAACGTTGAAATCATCCATAAAAACCTCAATAATTTTCTCAACATAATCTGAAAATATGCTCATCATGCATCTTTGAAATGTGGCAGGTGCATTACATAAACCAAATGACATGCGACGATAAGCAAATGTACCAAAGAGGCATGTGAAAGTGGTTTTCTCTTGATCTTCCGGAGTTATCACAATTTGATTATAACCTGAATATCCATCAAGAAAACAATAAAAAGCATAACCCGCTAACGTTTCAAGCATTTGATCAATGAATGGCAAGGGAAAATGATCTTTCCTTGTAGTGGCATTAAGCTTCCTATAGTCAATACAAACCCTCCAACATGTTTGGATTCGAGTAGGAACAAGCTCATTTCCGGCATTTGTCACCACAGTTACTCCGGACTTCTTTGGAACACATTGCACCGAAGACACCCACCAACTATCTGAAATTGGATAGATCACTCCACAATCCAAGAGCTTGATTATCTCCTTCTTCACAACTTTCATCATTGGAGGGTTGAGTCAGCGTTGAGCCTCTCGAGATGCTTTGGACCCCTCCTCCAAAAGTATATGATGCATGCACGTGGTCGGGCTTATTCCCTTGATGTCGGCCAAGGTCCACCCAATTGTAGTTTTGTACTCCTTTAACACCCTCACTAACTTACCTTCTTCTTGTGCTGTGAGTGAGGAGGATATAATGACGGGCAAGGTCTCTTGGTCTCCCAAGAACACATACTTTAAATGGCTTGGCAATGGTTTATGTTCAAGGGAAGGTGGCTGCACAACTGAAGGAATGGGCTTATTAGTCGAAATTGGAATTGAAATTGGGTTTGAGGACTTACCAGATTGTAGTGGCAATGACTCAAGGGCATCCACTATCTCAATCATATCAACACTAGGGGCCACGGCATGGTATTCTCCATGCATGCTGTGGGTAGTCAATGGCCCTACTTCCTTGTCTTTGAGTTCCATTCCTCTTGTAATGACCCATTCAAGTGCATCTTCGTTCAATTGTTTAAAATGGTCCTGCGCCAACGAATCAATTACATCAATAGCAAAACATGAATGATCATCAAGAGGGTACTTGATAGATTCAGAAAGATTGAAATTAATAACTTCCCCACCAAATTCCATGGTCAAAGTCCCATTAAACACATCAATCTTTGTGCGGGCGGTTTTCATAAAGGGGCGGCCAAGAAGAATTGGCAACGAAGGGGAATGGGTTGATTCTTCCATTTCCAGCACGTAGAAATCTGCCGGAAAGATTAAATGATTAACCTGCACTAAAACATCTTCCAAAATACCCTTTGGATAGGCATTAGATCTATCGGCCAATTGAATAATCAAGCCATCGTTTTTTAACTCACCTAGGTTCATTGATGCATAAATTAAGTAAGGCATAACATTTATAGATGCACCTAAGTCTAGCATGGCATGTTCAAAACGATTATTGCCAATAACGCATGGAATTGTAAAACTACCCGGATCTTTGCATTTAGGGGGCAATTTACGTTGCAAGATGGCTGAGACGTTTTCACTTACCTTTACAACCTCTTTGTTTGAAATTCTCTTCCTAGTAGTGCAAAGTTCTTTCAAAAACTTGGCATACCTTGGAACTTGCTTAATTGCATCCAAAAGTGGTATATTGACTTGTACCTTTCTAAATGTCTCCAAAATGTCCTTTTCAGCCTCCTCCTTCTTTGTTTGCATGAATCTACGAGGGAATGGTACATTTGGAGGAATAGCATTAGAAATAATCAAATTTGGAACATCCTTACCCTTGGAAGCCGAATGGTGTAGTTTGGGTGGCTGCGGCATGGTGTTTTCTACCCTTGCTGTGCCTTGCTCTTGCTCCCCCTCTTCAAATTGCAACTTCTCATCCTTCGTTGGGGTTGATTTAGAGGGTTGTGAGACCGTTCCAACTTGTTTTCCACTTCGCAACATGATTGCTTTGGCAGATTCGAATCCTCCTTTTGGGTTGACAACGGCTGAACTAGGCAACTTGCCCCTGCTCTCTAAATTGGCCCATGAACTCCGCAATCTGCCCTACTTGCTTTTCTAATTCATCAACCTTTTTGTCCCTATTTTGCGTTCCCTGCGCCATAGAAGTTAGTAATTGAAAGATTTGATCATTATCTATGGATGAACCTGATTTGGATTGTGTAGGTTGTGCTTGGGGTGGTGTGGGTGCATACGGCCTTTGGTAGAATCCCGGAGGTTGCTGCCTAAATGTGCTTTGTTGTTGGGGTTGTTGTGGCTCCCTCCATTTGAAATTTGGATGATCTCTCCAACCGGGATTGTATGTGTTAGAGAAAGGATCACTCCTTGCTTGGTTTTGGCTCTCATAACCCACGGCATTGGCAGATTCTCACCCTCCGTTCTCAATCAATTGAGGTCACTTGTCCGTGAGATGTCCATTCATGGAGCACACGCCACAAACAGCCACACTTTGTACCTTTGGTATTTCAACCACCTGTGAAAGAAGAGAAGTAAGATTAGCCATTTGATTTTGAAGTTCAGAAATAGCACTTACCTCATTAACTTATGGCTGCCGTGGTATGTCTCTTTGGCCAATGCCTTCGTATTGTTGATCATTCAAAGCTCGGTTGGCAATGAGAGTCTTGGCAGCCATAGGTGTTTTGTCCACTAAAGCTCCACCCGCTGAGGCGTCTAGCATTTGACGTTCAATTGGTAGAAGCCCTTCATAGAAATATTGAAGAAGAAGCTCATCCTTCATTTGGTGCTGTGGACATGAAGCAACAAGGGTTTTAAAACGTTCATAATAAGTTGGAAATGATCCACCTTGATTTTGCTGAATGCCACTAATTCTTTTACGTAAAAGAATGACTCGAGAAGTTGGGAAAAACTTCTCCAAAAACGCCATTTTCATACTCTCCCATAATGTGATAGTTCCGGGGGCTAGTTCATACAACCAATCTTTAGCCTTTTCCAAGAGAGAAAAGGGAACAGCCTTCATCTTCAATATGCTCCCATCAACATTCACCGGGGTCATACTTGAACAAACAACCTCGAACTCCTTCAAGTGTTTATTAGGATCTTCCATGAACAACCCATGGAACTTAGGAATATGGTGCAATAAACTGGACTTGAGTTCGAACTCGTCAGTCTTGTCCGGGGCTGCCCTTGGATATTGAATGCATAGAGGCATGGCATTATCCAATCCTGAAGTGGAAAGCTCCTTGATTGTTCGGTTGTCGGCTGCCATAACTTGTTCTTCCTCAAAAACCCTTGCCGTGGCCTCCTCCTCCACTTGTATTTCATCCTCTTCAAGCTCAGGTGCAGGTTGAGGTGGTTGAGGCTCTTGTTGATTCTTCTTTCTTCTCAAGGCTCGCTCAAAATTGTCGTCAAAGTCTAAGATATGCGCATGAACCGGTTGAGAACTCCGAGTCATAAACTAGTGCCTAAACACAAGAAAACAAACAGGTCAGAAACTAAAATAACTAACAAACCAATAACACACGAAAATAACTAAAAAGAAATAACAAGGGATTAGCAAAGTTGCTAATCCCCGGCAACGGCGCCAAAAGTTGATGTGAAAATTAACTTAACACACAAATTAACCCTCTTTTGACAATTGTAGCATAATAATAAGTAGGGATAGTTCTTACACCGGGGATTAGGAGGGATTGCTAAACACTTTAAACTGACTTAAATAAATAAAACTAACCTTTAAAACACTTAAGTCACTTAAAAAAAACTCAAAACAAGTTTACAAGACTCAAAATAGCCTAAAAACACTCAAAACTGCCTAAAAACACAACTTGGGCAGATTTGACTCTAAACACCAAATTGGACGAAAATTAGTTCTAACTTGACTCAAAACACTCAAAAACACAATCTAAAACATATTTTAACTATTTAGACTCTAGAATAAATGGGGATTTGATTTTGGACGAAAATAAAATAAAGAAAACAAGACTTTAAACTCTTCAGATTTGGACGAAATTGGTGGAATTAAGTGGATGATGGGCTAGCTAGGAGGTTTTTCTCCACACATGACATACTTGCATACAAAACAATCTCCAGTTGCTGATTCAATGAATCATGAACCTCAACACCCCAAGTTAATTAGGTACACTTAAATTAACTCTCAGATTTCCCTTAGGTCATTGAATTGAATGGAATTAGCGCATTGCAATCAAATTATTCCTCAAAAGTTCTCTATATGAAAGCGCATATTAGAAAAACAATCAAAGATCATTAGGTTCTACGGAAATCATAAGTGTTGACCAGGCATTCGTAACTATGAAAGCGCATGATACTTATGCCAAGAATTTACTTAACATGATTGTGACCAACAATCTTAACTACTCATGAATATAAGTTCCCAACGATTAGGTGAAGTTTCCTTATACCCTAGCATCAGAATTATGCATGCAAATTAAGTGTGCATGATAGGAGCATATTTATGCGACTTAATTGACTTGTTCTCGTGCATTTATGTTGGGTTTCCTTAGTTATTTTAGTGTTTAAAGTCACTTTTGTGTGTTTTCAGATTATAAGGCCAAAGTGTGCAAGAAGATGCAAATTGGAGTCTTTTGGAGCAAAAGAGGAATGAAGGAGTTGAAGACTTGAAGAAATATGAATTCCTAATTGAAGATGGTTACCTACTCCAACAAGGATTCCTACTTGAAGTAGGAATGTTAAGCCTAGGTTTCCCATTTTGGTAACCTTTCCTAATCTTAAAAGTCCTTATTTTCCAACCACTTTGAAGGCCTTGTATGCACTTTAGGACACAAAACAAAGGCCCTAGACCACCACTAAACCTTTGCCGCACCTTTCCCCTTCTCCCCATCCCTTGCCGTGCAAGGGGGGGCAATTATGTCCTATTTTATGCACTTAAACACATGTCCCTTTCTAAATAAAACCCTAGCCACACATTGCAGCCAATTCCCTTTTTAATTTCTGATTTAATTTCCTAATTCTAGAAGCCTTTGACTTAATTTTAGTTAACCAAAATAAGCTAGGGTTTTAATTTCTGAAACCCTATATATTCTAAGCCTAGCTGCACCCTAGATGGATTCTATTAATCATTCAGCCACTTCCCACTCCCTTGCCGCAGCCACCATCACCCTAATACCTTCAATCCACCACTTCTCCATCTATTCCAGCAACCTCCCATCTCTGCCGCAACCATTCCTCTACTCCAGCCACCATTCTACACCTCCATACACCACCCACACCCCTTGCCGCACCACCATATCATCCTAACTCCCTTCCTAAACCAAAACCACATCCAAAAACCCCCAAAAACCTCTCTGCCGCAGCAAGGAGAAGAAGAAAGAGGAGCTTGACGTGCAGAAATTCAAAGTGGAATTGTTGGGCGTTTTAGGTGTAATCAATCTTTTGCTCTCTATGTTTAATTTCAATTTTGTTTCTCTTTCTGTGAACATGAGAGGCTAAATCTCTAATTAGCTAGGGGGTGATTCAAAACCATGTTTATGCTTACAATATAAATTGATTACCTACAGTTGGAATTTCATGAGTTGTGGATTCAATTTGTTTAATGATAGGAGCATATTTAGGCAACTTAGTTGGCTTGTTCTTGTGCATTTACATTGTTATTTCTTAGTTCTTTAAGTCTTTTAAGCCATTTTCGTATGTTTTCAGGTTCTAAGGGCTAAAGGAGCAAAGAAGTGCATTTTGGAGCCTTTTGGAGCATTTTTGGGCTAAAGATGGATAACTTATGCTTGGAGCCAAAGTGTTGGATGAATTTGAAGACCAAGTGAGCCTAGAGTCGAAGGAAGAAGGAGGAATCAAGAATTGGAAACCAGTTTCCATTATGGGGAGTTTCTATTTTTGAAAGGTTTCTAATTGTGCAAGTTTCTAAATAATGTTGGTTGCCTAAATCCCATGTTCTAGAAGCCCTAGACATGCCCTAAATTGTGCCGCACCTTACCTTCATTTTCTCTCCAAATTTCTGGCCTTAAAATCCTTTCCCTTTCTTGCCGTGAGTTTAACTTCTTTTCTCTCCCAAAATCTGCAAGATTATGTCACAATCCTTGTCTTAAAAGTCTCAGCCACACCTCCCTTGACCTTTCCTCTTCCTTGCCGTGCAAGGGAGATGGTTCTTTCCTATTTCCTTGCATTAAAACACATTCCTTTTGTGTTTTATGCCATTGCCGCAACTTTTAGGTAGGTTCCTTTAAATTTCTGATTTGATTTCCTATTTCTAAAAGCTTTTGACTTAAATTCTAATTACCTAAATAACCTAG